TTTTGGGTTCTGCCTTAGCACAGGTAGTTGCTGGAGTTGTCCTATTCCTCCAGCGATTCTTGCCAGCTAGTAAAGACATTTTGTGATGCTTTTTGTTTATTGTTCCTTCTCACACCTCTGCTTTGTGCTTTCAGTCTTGTAAATGTTGTTTGTAAATCCTTCGGTATGAAATGACTTTTCAAATGTGTTTGTACAGCACCTAACACAAAGATCCCAATCTCATTCAAGCCTCTGGGTGTTGCTGTAGAGCGTTGAGTGAATTGGTATTTTTTATAGTAATGGAAGTCTTTCTTGAGGTATTTGACCTTAAATAAAGTGGAGAAAAAAATACTTAAATAGCTTGCAGACATGATGGAATAGGGACAGTTTGATACCTTGGGAGACTTAGGTGCTATTGAAACACTGGATCCTTTCCATGTACTTCGGTCTTGTGCTCTGATGCGTGCAACAGTGGTTTCATAAATGAATTTAAGCCACAGTAAGTCATAGCAGTATCTTATCAAGTTGCCTTCAGTTTGCTTGAAGGTATAGTTCATATTTTCTAGCAGAATTATTTACATGCTGAATTTTGTCTATCCATGAAAGAACCCTCTTGTGAATGTAATGCTGATTTTTGTTCTTCTGTAGTACAAACCAGTTAGTTGGGAGTGCTTTCCCTTTTAATTACACTTTGTTCTCAAAACTGATTGGATTTTACCACTTGCTGAATGAAAAGCTCCTGTATCAATTTTAAGGTCCCTTGGAAAAAAAAAAAAAGATTTGTGTTAAAAGCTAGGTGATTTTAGGGTTTTGTTTGTGGGCTCGCTGCTGGGGAGGAAAGGGCATAAAACAGTGACAGTTTTTTTCCTCCTGCTTGATAAGTGCTGGGGGGATTTACGTTGTATATTACAACCAGCAACTATTCCAAGAAAAATCTTTAAGATGGTTACTTGGATCTGTGTACACTGCCCACCTGGTGGTTATGGAGTGAACTGTTACTTTAAAGAATAGTTTAAACAACAGCCATGTTTGGGGCAGGCTAATCTTGCAAAGAGAGCAGTACATATAACAGGAGTCTACAGTGTGATAAGGGGAAAATTCAGCTCACTGACTAGATGTTTTAATGTGCGAACTCTAGGGAAATAACATATTGACTATTCTGTTGTGCGCAAGAAAATTGAAGAACCCTTTGCAGACAGAGGGCTTGCAAAGGATTCTTTCTGTTTCTCTTAACCAAAATCTGTGGCAAGATGTTTGAAATCAGCAGGACGCTTAATGCTGCTTTGTTAAATAATGAGGTAATATTTTGTCACTTTTTCTGGGCAGCATCTGTTTTTTCTCCTTTTTCATATGTTGGTGAAGGATTCAGTTTAATCTTATGCAAGTAAGAGATTTTTTTTAAAAATCATTCTTCAATTTATTATTTTTTTCCTTTTGATGCTTTTGGAGAATTGGGTTGTCTTTTATTTGCGGTTTCAATCGGCTGCTGTTGCCTAGGACATTATGCCACGTAAGGCTTCTAAACTGCACAGAGTAGGTAGTTATTAACGCTGAATTGGCTTCTGGTATAGTCCATCTGGGCTCTGTATGAGAGAGCTTGCTAGCGGCTACTGATGCTAAGATACCCGCAACCTTTGGGATGTATGCGTGGTGGAGAGGGGCTCAGTGATATGAGATCACTTCTTTTAAGGGAAACTGTCATTAATGAGTCAAGAAACTGCTCATTTATGGTAAGGAGAGGGAGGGGGGGGTGGGAAACAACCCTGTGATTTCATTTTGATATTGGATTAGCTGTTTAAGACAAGTTTCTTTTTGTGGGGATGGAAGATTGCACTAAAAATATGCTTTGCTCAGGGGCTTGCTGGCTGATGCTGGAGAGACTGTGTAGAGAATCTGATGCTTTACAAATGTCACCACCGTGATGCGGTGGTCAGTCCCTTTCCCTGAAAGATAAATGGTACTATTGGAAACACGAGAATAAGGTTGACTTTTTCAACAATAGGATTCTGCCTTTGTCTTTCCAGAGAGAGGCCTCTGAGGATGTTTGAGCGTTTGTTTTAGTGTTTCTCGGAAAGGCTGCGTGTGTGGGGTGCTTTTTGGGAAAGTGTTCAGTGTGCAGAGTACCTGGATTTATAGACCGATAAGATTAGCTAATTTTTGAGAGGAGCAGCATGCGATTATTGTTTCAGAAAAATGGCTGAATCTTGATATGCATAATGAATTTATAGTAACAAAGTAAGCTGAAGTTGAAAAGACTTAAAAATAATTTCTGGATGTCTTCTCCGGTGTTATTAACCCCTGAAGAGACCTTAAGTAAAAAATTTGCATTACAAATCTAACTTTAATATTCGATGTATGTTTGCACAAGAATCTATGGTAATATACTAGCTCTTGTAGCATTTTGATGTCTGTGTGTTCAGTCTAATAGGTCACATAAATTTGAGTTAGGAAATGTATCTTACGGACTGGTTTAATCTATGCTTAGTTTTTACTAAGGTACAAATGTGTTCAGAAAGATGCGTGGTGACAGAAATCCTCTGCAGTCTTTCATATTGTTCATATTTTAATTGAATTCAGTGCTCATTCCACAAACAGATTGTATGATGCTTTTAAAATGTGAATTTTCTCCTTGCTTGGTTTGTGTATAGCTAGATTTTATGAGCTTTACTACATTTCATGTGTTTTATTGGTGTGTTTAGTCTCTGTGTGTGTTTGAGCGTGTCTATGGCTTAAAGAAATTTAAAATGTACTGAATGTCAGTCCCCAGCTTAGCAGTGTAGAGGGAATATTTATACTTTTTTTTAAATGAAGCTAGTAGAACAATGGTGATTTGATTTACATGTTTTTAAAATGGTTTTGGTGGTTTGTAGTCAGGTTTTCTTTCTCTAGGAAGGAGCTAAGTGAGCTTATAATGTGGCCCATCCTAGCTTTCTCAGTTTTCAGCTCTTGCATTTAAAAACGTTTGCAACGATACTGATTTAAAAAAAAAAAAAAAATTAATTTTGAAATTAATCTGTGGATGGTAAAACTAAATGATCCTATGTGTGTATACATAGAGTAATACTCGGTTGCTTTAGTTGAGCTTAATGTAAATTCTAGGTTTGCTGTAATTACAGAGTGCCATGCCTTGTTACTTTGGACAAAACATGCTTTAGGAAAATACCTCTCAAGTAAGAGAAAGAAATGAATGCTTCCTAACTTGTGAGAATTCTTAAAAAACTTGCTGTGGTTGGAAGGGGGTAAAATATTGCTGTTTGGAAGTGAAGTTTTGTTAGTTTGTCAGTGGCAATGAGTGGAGGATTAATGAGTGTGCATTGTTAAGTTAAGCACGTTTCTCTAAGGCTGGAAAAGAAAATTCTTTCAAATACCCAAAGTTCGCTGTCGTTTTATTTCTTGTCGAGCTGAAGAATAATGAAACGAGGTGGCAAAATAATTCTGAAATACTACTATCATTCGAGGGGAGCGCCCGATAAAGAGGTGTCTACTGTGCCTTAGACATTGTCAAGTGGCAGCAACATCAAATCCACTCCTTTAAAAATACGTGTTTTTAAAAACCTCACCGGGTAGAAAGAAGGAGAGATGGGTTGATTATTAAAATCAATAGTACCTGAAAATAAATGCAGCTTTAAATGCACGTCAAAGTGCTTTTGTTGTGCCTTTAAGCCTAGAGGCACATCATTAAATATGCATTTCTCCGGAAAGCAACTGTCGAAAAAGATAAGGTGGTTAAAATACGGCGGACCTGGGAGCGGGGCGCGCAGGAGGTAAGGAGATGTAGGCACTGGAGCATGGCCGAGGTACGGCACCGCCGGGCCCAGGGGTGGGAACTGGGGGAACCAAAAAAAAAAAAAAAAATTTTAAAAAAATTAAAAAAAATACGGGGCTGCGTGTTGTTTCTTCAACCGGGCCTTAATTACTAGACACAAGCAGCAGTTCAGAAATCTGGTCTCTGTTGTTGTAGAGGTCACCGCATCATTAACATTGTCAATCTGGCAGCGGCTAATTTCAATAGCACCTGATGTCGCAACGCCTCCCCCCCACACACACCACACACACCCTCCCTCCCCCCCGCCCCCCCCCGCGCGCGCGGCTCGCTCGGCCAATCAGCGCGCGGCGCCGCTGACAGATGGTCCCATAAATGGCGGTAAAGGGGCGACGGCGGCCGCCAGTCGCAGCAGGGCCCGCGCCGCTCCGCGCGCTCCGCTCCGCGCGTCCCGCCCCGCTCCGCGCTCCGCCCGCCGCCGGCGCCGCCGCCCTCCCGCCGCAGCACCACACTGAGACAACGAGATAATATACTTAGCTATTATTATTATTTATTCTTCTTATTATTATTGCTGCCGCTATTATTATTATTATTATTATCGATAATAATTTCTCGCTGCACAAACGTCTAGCAGTGTGCTTTGTGGATCTTCAAAAAAAAAAAGAGAAAAAATAATAATAATAAAATAATTCCCTGAAACCTTAGCAAAACCGTTAGAAGAGTTGAAGCCTTTCAAGACACCCAATATTTGCCATTAAGAATGGTTATGGTAGGTATTAGTAGATTTAAAATCTGATCGTAGCGGGTTTATATAGAGGTAGATATAGAAGCTAACATACAGATTTTCCCCGAATCTGCATCATTCTCAGTCTGTGTTTTCCCATTAATTTAGTTTTCTGCTACTGATCTGTTTGTACATGATCTCTCCCTTTCCCCCCCATCCCTTTCTCTTTCCCCTCTCTCTCGCTCTCTTTCATATTTAATGTCTGCGTATCCTTTAATAAAGGATGTACTTTGTCATTTTAAGGTAATTGCGATTTCTCTCAGAATAAAGAGAAAAGCTCATTTCTAATGCAAAGCTGGTATGTGGCTAACTGAAATGCAAAAGGAAGAAGAGGCTTTTTTTTTTTTAAAGGGTGGGGGAGAGTTAATTTCCACATTGACATTTTGGAGATACAAATGCAGAGCAAAATCCTTGGGGGGGGGGGGGGGGGTTAAAAAAAAAAAAAAAGCCTCGAGATTGGTAATTTTCTTTTTGGTGGACTGCGCAATAGGTATGGTAATTTTAAAAGAGGGTGATTTATATGAGCTTCAGTAAATGCTGCATATTGTATTTCAAAGAGTTTCCTGTCGTGACCTCATAAAAAGAGGAGGAGGCTTGTATGTGTTGCAGTGCCTAGTATATGTCGATTTTGTTGCATCGTTGGGCAGCAGCGCTGTAAGAAGGAATGTCAGCTTTTACATAACGCTCTTTTTGCTTTTGACTCTGTGAGGGGCTGTAAGGGTCCATCTTTGTGATCACAGATGGAGTGGAATGGCTTGAAAATGGTAAGTGAACGGGGAGAGCCTGCTCGTGGGGTTTTGTCTCGTTTCTCGTGTGCCTCGCGAATTTCTTTTGTTCAGGGCGGCGGATCGTGAGTCATAAAATAAAATTAGAGAGCCTTGTTTATTTTTTTTTTTCGGTGGGATATGTCTGCCTGTGTGTGTGCATATGTATCTGTACATCCATTTACCGTCTCTAGCTGCGATGGCACTCCACAGCGTTTCCATTGAACGTTGCGTTTCAGTTGAGCGCGGATGGTCTCTGCTGACAGTCACGGTGTCATGGTACCGCGTGTGCCTGGCGGAGCGGGCGGCCGATGATGCCTTTTAATCTCCGTTCCTATTACACCAGCCTTAAATACAAACCTAATAATCGCCTCTAAAAATCCAGGTATCGCGTTTCCCATGGAGCCGGTGCTGTCGAGGATGGATGGGTGGATGGATGGGTGGATGGATGGATGGAAGCAAGGGTGTGTTTTTTTTGTGTCGGGGTGGGGGCTGGGGTTTGGGGGGGTGGGGAGGGAGCCGTGTTGTTTTGTGCTTTTTTAAATGCCGGGAGAAGTCAAAGCCATTTATGTGAAAAATAGTATTTCTATTTTTAGCCCGTATTCTCCTGGCGGAGGAGCCCGGACGTGCTCATCTCGTCCCCTCTTTTGTGCTTTTCCTTACAGATTGTGCAAAATGGCATGATCAGACACACAACTGCGGGCACCGGGGCTGCGCCGAGCGGGGCGACCCGGGTGGGGGCTGGGGCCGCCCGCACAATACCCGGCCCTCCTGCCAGCCCCGGGATGGGGGGGCGCCGGGGACCCCCCTTCCCCCTAATTTAACGTTTTGCAGACTTTTGCCGCGGATATTTATTATAACCGAGGAAACAAAGCGACGGTCTTTTCCCATTCTTACAGGATTGTCTTTGTCTAGCTGCTTGTTTTGATGGGTGTAAAACAAATAAGATTAGACTGAGCAGCCGAACTGAAAGCGATAGCTGGGAGGAAAAGCCAATGAAAGGTTGCCGGGGAAACGAGCATAGGGGAAGCTGAGTGGGGGAGCAGGTGGCAATCATGTGGGAATACTGCAAACAGTGTAAAAAAAAAATCTAAAAAAAAAAAAAAGCAGGGGCTACCTCGATTATCTCTGCTGTTCTTTGTGGCAGTCACAACTTTAATTATTCTTTATAAATAGGTGTTAATTACATTTCTGGCTCAGGCTTACAGTGATTTCTAGAAATCTGGTTTTAAGCATCTGTTCTTTCTCCTTTGCAAAAGAGGGTTATCTTTTTTCTTTTTTTTTCTTCCCCCTCCCTGCTGTGAAATTGTACGTGCAAAAAATTGCAAGGAATCCTGTGAGGCAGTAAAAAAAAAAAATGTAAATTATATTGAATGAAGTTGACAGAGGTATAATAGTGAACTCCCACAGCTGATAGCTTCTGCAAATCATTTCTTAGAATTTTCCAGCAAATGTCCCTATGAGAACAGTAGGTAGAATGAATTTACCCTAAGCAGTGATTTTGTGTTAAGTGATATTGGTATTTTTACTAAATCAGATGGTTATATGGCAGAATAATCAGTTCAGGGGAGTTCACCATATTTTAGGGTTTAGGGACCGAGCAGAATTTACAAAAATACTGAAATTATTCTTCTCTTCGTCTCCGGCCCCACCTTTAGCCACAGTCTATTCTATATCTGCCGGAGCAATGTTCACTTCCAGTGTCGGGCTCCTTGTGGCAACTCTACTTTTTAAACCACGGCTGAATATTTTGTTAATTGTGATGGTCTCTTAATTGTAGTGGCAAACAATATTGGGAAATAGCTGGTGGTGCTAGAAGTGTTAAAAAAGCGTAGTAGACTGGTAAGTGATAGACAGTAGCGTAGAAGATATAAAGATGTGGTTGCCCAGAAAATGCTCATTTATCACACATCAGGAGGCATAAGAAGCAAAGCAAGACTATAGAACACGCCTTTCTTTCTGTCTTTGGATTTGCAGATATTTTTACTTTATTCCTTTCTCTGGTGCAGGGTTACTTCGAATGCAAATTCAAGCAGGAATGGTAGTGCTTAGTTGAATAAGCAAGGAATAAAAAAATTAAATACCCTTTTAATTTGCTTTGTTTTAAGTATTGCTTCTACTGCAGTCCTTTCTGTGAAAAAGTGATTGAATGACCCTCTGAAAATTGCACTGCTCTACAATGTAGAGGGGGAGAAAAAAAATCTTGAGGGGGTGTGTGCATGTGTAAAATTCCGTATTTTACAGTCTGTGCATGTGCAGAGATGCATTCTGACATGCATTGTAGTTTGTACGTGAGAGTAAAATAATTTTTCTTCTGTCCAAAACAGAGATACTGTGTTCTAAATCTGTTAACTTAGTCATGACAATAAATAAGGGTCCCTTTTATTATACACAGCTGCATTGTTTGTTTTAAGAGTCATCAGCTCGTAGTTACATTTTCATTTTCTGTTCAGTTTCGTGTTTCTACAAAGATTTTAAAATAATGTAATCCTTGTTTTACGGTGCACGTGTTCCTGTCCTGATCTTCTTCTTTCCTTTGTTTTAAGATTATATTAGTGAATACAGCCTGCATGTACATAGTGACATTTTCTTTCTGCATGTAAAAGATTGCATTGTAAATCTTCCTATAGAAAAATAGCTATTAAGTTTGTGAAATAGAATTAAGATTGCTAGTAATACTAAAAGAAAACGTATAACCTCTTTCTGTTGAGACAAAAAAAATACAGAAAATGTAGTTGTCCTTAGACATGACACTTTTATTTTTTTAAAAAAAACTGTTGTCATGGTGTACTAGTGCGAAAGGAGGAAATGTTACAATTGGATATTGATGCAATGTGAATACCAGCCATCAGTTTAAAATCCTGTCCCCGCGTACTCCACTAATCAAGTCCCCATGTTAGATACAGGGATGCCTTTCCACTGGTGACTGGCTTGGTTGCCGCCTTTGCTTTTGTCCTCTTTATTAATTTTACCTTTTTTGAGCTCTCTCAAAGTGAGCCCAAGCTGTTGTGACAAAGGATGGTTACAATGAGCTGGAAGGGGTATACTTAAAAATCCCATTTGAATGGGTTTGAAATAGTCTTCATCATCTTTATTTGGTCCTGTTAAATATTGTGACTCTATTGAAAGAAAATCTAGTTGCATTATTCTTACATATATTTAATGGATTAATTTTTTTTAATAATGTCTTCTAAGTTACAGGGAATTTTTTTTTTCTTCAGTCTTCGTACTTGGTATGCTGGGAGTGTACTAAATAAATGCAGGTTATTTTCTGTGAGTAATTGTCATACTGTTGGTACATAACCTAGAGCCACTCTACACCCTGAGGTTTTTCAAAAGAAATAAGATACGATTGTGTCCCATATTCTGGCAGGGGAATTTGGTGTCTTCTTTGGGAACTTGGACTTTGAAAATAATTTCAGCAAACAGCCCAGGCAAGAAATGGACAGTGGCAGAGAATATTATGGTGAGAGGGAGAGAGATGCAGATAACTTGACAAATCCACTTGTCTGTTTTGGCAATCTGTGTCCTCTGGACACCTCATTTACATGCCTGGACACATTAAAATGTACATTTGTTTGTCTGTGGGACAGCTAACTGGATACACTCTGATGCACTGGCAAATACTGCAATGCAGTATTTTTTCAATGTCATTGAGGTTTTGGGGGAGAAGTGGGCACAAACAGTTTTCTTGCAAGTGAGGTGATGTTAAAAAGCATGGTATGTCTGTAAGGGATAGGCCAGATTTTTCAAAATTTGCTAATCTGTGATGGAAAGTCACCCCTCCCCCTTGCACTCCTCTCCTTCTCTTGCTCTTTTCCTTTCCGTGTAGGGTGGAGGAAGAGATGGGTACGTGTGTATTTTTGTGTGTGTGTGTTTGTGCATGTGTATCTTCCCTTCCCATTTGAATTGATGTTAAGGAAAGCGCTGGGATTTGGGTGAGGAGGGGAATGGAACACTTCCCTATCATTTCTGTACATGTCCAGTTACCAGCAGCATAGGACTTGGAGTAACTTTAAAAGAAGGCACATTTTTAATTTTCTAAGGAACTTTGTGAAGAGGAGGGCAGTGTTGCAATTCAACAAGTACTATAGTTTTAGTCCTAGTAAAACACGTTTAAGGGGTACCTGTACCTCACCTCAGCCTTTGGGTACATTTAACCGTTTGAGAAAATGTAAAGGGAGCATACTGGAGAAACAGATACTTAGAGACTGGTTGCTTTTTCCCCTCAAATGATCAGTCTTTACTTTTTTAAATACTAGAATATTTTAGGTACAGGGGGCTTTTGTAGGTCACTAGCTTTACAGCAAGAAGAAGGAATGGGGGGGGAAAAGGTCCCAATGTGTCAGAGGCAGTAATTGTATAAAATTAGCCATCTAGAAAAGGCAGGAAAGGCTTGGAGGAAAGGAGGAGGCACTAATATGTGAAACAGCACTGTGCTAGTCGGGGAGATAATGAGTGATAAATTTGAACTGGTGCAGTGGTGTGATGCCCATTAATTTCTCAGAACCTTGACTTTGCAGGTTTGTTACTCTGTTGTTCACACCTTTAATTATAACTAGTTTTGGATGATAGCTTGGGGCACTGAAGATGAGACCTTTTGTTTGTTGTTTATTCATTTAAATATTTAGAGTTTGCAATAGCATTGGAATATCAGTGTTAGAAATTAAATACTCTCAGATGAGATCATAATAAGAATACAGTTAATTCTTGGAACTGCCTAACATTGTCTTACTTATAGCATTTGCGTTGCTTGCATGAATTCATTAAGAATTAGCTCAGCAGTGTTGAGTTGAGCTTTATTTTCTGTAGTGAAAATGTGTTCCCTAATGGAGCTCCTGATGCATTATTGCTTCTTTAGAGCCCCAAAAAGTAGGGAGGAAGTGGAGAAGCCTGTCTTACCTATTGTTCTACCCTTGACAGTGTCTTACATGAGGACTTTCACCTCAATGGCTAAGAAAATCTGTACAAGTCAGGAAATGCTGACAACCAGTTAGGAG